GAAAAATAGGAATAAGGATAAATGTATGTATAGCTATGTATATATGTAAAGTAATATAAATAAGTAAATCTTGTATTATAATGTAATAATAACATAAATAAGTAAGGATTTAGGAAATAAGTTACAGATGTATTTGTAGCAAATGACCTTAGTTGACACTATTATGAAAATGCTGCAAAATGTGAGAACATGTTTCTCTTTTTTAAAATATTTTTTTGAAATTTTGAATAAACAAAATAAAATAATCATCATCATAATGCAATTTGATTCAGAAATTCAATTAATGCAATATGAATGTAAACTTAAGAGAGAAAGATAAAATAGATACTGTGCACAAGACATATGTACCAACCGACACACTGTATAACTGAACTGTTTTATTTGTTGTTTTATGTTTTATGTCTTATGTTTATGTTTGTTGTCAAAAAATAAAAAACTTTTTTATTTTTAAAAAAAGAATTTCATTGTATGTATACTGTGTATATATGTGCAATGACAATAAAGAGTTCAAATTCTAGCCTATCCGATCTCTCGGTTAGATCAGGTTAAAAAAAAATTAATTGAACCGGAGGCTGCGATGATCTTCATCTAAAATATTCCAAACCGCCCCCCTCTTGGGCTTCTCAGCGGTTTGTCAGACTGACTCAAAATTATGAGTTGTAAAATTATGACACGGAAAGAGAGAAGTTGATTATTTTTCTCAAGTGTCATTTCTAGACGGAATGGACACATTAGGAAATCAGGCCAGACTCCAGATTACTTTATCGTCAAATGAAATGATATTAGCGGCAATTATCTGGCCTTGGATGAAACGGTGCCTTGAATGATAATGCAGCCCTAAAAAAATTAAACATTTAAGCAATGACATTTATTTTTTTAAAAAAAAAGTCGACAAAGGTTAATGGAAATGTTTTTCAAGGGAAGGAAAATTTGCATGCAACCTCCACACCACACACACACACACACACACACACACATTCACACACAACACCGCAACAATCTAAAAGCAAGTGCTAAAATCAAGTCGACGCAGCAAACTCAGGGGTGTCGTGTTGGAGTTTGACTCCAAGGGAGAGGAGGAACAGCCGACAGGGAGTGGGAGTGTGGCTTCAGAGGTTGTGGAGGAAACTGGGGAAGGGCACAGGCCGGCTGGGCATTCAGAGGAAGACCCAGGCCCACACCATCCGAGGGCATGCAGGGAGGAGAGGATAAGGGAGAAACATGAATGGCGTGTCTATGGGGGAGGAAGGGGCCTTGATCCCCTTCATGGGCTGCAGCTGTGAGAACTGTTTAAAAGGATGGGCATGCGTATGGGCCAGTGCTGGAAGCAAAGCATGGAAATTTCTTTAGTCTGTCCATTCCTATCTGAGTTTGGCGTCCTTCCCAGTGTGTGTTCCGATATCTGTGGACGTCTTCAAGCCCTTATCTTGCCGGGTTCCCTGAATTGCTTCAGTGTGGTTTGTGTTGTTTTTGCTCTTTATAATTTATAGGCATTTTTAGTTTAAATGGCGTTTCCTCCTTTTCGTAACTGCTTGTGGGGGAGTTTTTTGTTTCCAGTCAAGGATATTTGGAGCTTTGAATCAAAGTGAAGGAAAAAAAGGGGCTTCACCTGTTTTTGTGACTGTGCTTATTTTATATCTCACCCTGGGTCATCATAGGGGTGCAGGAGGCAAAATGAATTTAGCATAAGAAAAAAAAAGGTGAGAGGGCTAACGTCTTTAAAGGGTGTGACGAGAGGTACAGCATAGTTTTGAAGTAGCCACACATAGGCCCAGGTTATAAGTATGATTTGGCAATGTACAAATATAATAAATAAGTAAAAATATCAGATATGGCTTATGCAGAAAATACTCCCACCTGTGAGCTCCTTGGTGCTCTATGAGCTTGGTTGGGTTTTTATTTTATTTTTTTGGCAGGTGTTTCATGACCCAACTAGGTAACATCATCAGTGCTAGAATGGAATGAGATGTTTGAGGAGGAAGAGGAGGAGGAGGACTCTTGGCGCGCTCTGAGCTTGACTCTTTTCTGCAGGTGTTTCATTAGCCAACTAAGTAACATCAGAGGGGGAGGGAGGGAGGGAGGGAGGGAGGGAGGAGGAGGAGGAGGAGGAGGAGGAGGAGGAGAACAGTGGGGTCCTTGGTGCCCTCTGAGCTTGGCTGTTTTCTTGCAGACATTTATTGACCCAATTAGGTAACGTCATCAGTGCTAGAAGGGAGTGAGGTTTGCAGGGGGGAGGATGAGGTGGTGGTGATGGTGGTGGAGGAGGAGGAGGAAGAAACAGATTATGGAATCCTTGATGTTCCCTGAGCTTAAGAGAAGCTGCGTGGCTCAAGACTTGCCCTTTTGACAGGTCTTTTAGTCCTTGACCTATAACCCAGAGGTGGTATATTCAGCAGGTTCTGACCAGTTCTGGAGAACCGGTAGCGTAACTTTTGAGTCGTTTGGAGGACCATCAAATCCCGCCTCTGACTGGAGATTTTACAGTATCCTTCCCCTGCCACGCCCACCAAGCCGCGCCCATGGAACCGGTGGTAAAAAAAATATTTGAATCCCACCACTGTTACAACCGTAATTGAACCCACAATTTCAGACCCAAGTCGTGCCGGTCATAAAGTGGATATCGCCACATAACTGTGCCCAATTTCAGGCCATTTTTGTGACGGTTGGCAATCGAATGCTGTGAGTTGTTACCATGGTTGCTAAATGGTTGCTAAATACCCAAACTGCACTTGTGCGACTCTGTGTGTGTGCGTGTGTCACATGCAAGCTGGGGGATTCTGGGAGTTGGAAGTCCACACGTCTTAAAGTTGCCAAATTCTTTTTTCCCTTTGAGTAAAAAAAACCAACCACCTCACTTTGAACAGCATCAAAAACAGCCCCTGGGAGGGGGACCTTGGAGTCTGAGTGGACGATCCCATAAACATGAGCCAGAGGTGTGCAGCAGCTGCCAAAAAAGCCAATACGATCCTTGGTTGTATAAACAAGAGGCATCAAATCAAAATCACGTGAAGGATTAATACCACTTTATAAAGCCTTAGTAAGGCCACACCTAGAGTCCTGCATCCACTTTTGGTCACCACGCTATAAAAAAGATGTTGAGACTTTGGAAAAAGTGCAGAAAAGAGCAACTAGGATGATCAAAGACTTGGAGACTAAAACATACGAAGAACAGTTGCAGGATTTGGATTTTGGCCAGTCTGGAGAAGTCTTGTGGTTCACCGGCGGAGAGGGCAGCAGAGTCGGACAGTAGGAAGGACCATGGGCCAGTCCGGGAGTCTGGGGAGGGCTCGGATGAGGGTCCTGCGTCTGATACAGAGGTGGGGCCAGGGCCATCTGGGAATTATGTGCCGACTCCGGAGCCTCCAGAATCTGATATCAGTGAGGTAGAGGAATAGCGGGAGCCTGTTCCCAGTGCACACTTGTGCAGAACTGCCAGAAGGCAAGAACAGCTAAGACAAAAGGGGCGCCTTGGCAGTAAGGCTTGGAGATGATTGGCCCCTTCCATAAGACATAAAGGAGGAGCAAAGGGACAGGAGCCTTTGCAGGAAGCAACTTTGTTCGTTCTGGTCAGTTTAAACTCTGAAGCTCTGTGTGGACTTTGTGCTCCGTTTGGCCTTGTACAGCCAATTGGCAATTTAGTCGTTGGCAGCATTTCAAGGGAGATAAAGGTGGGTGCTTATCAGACTTATCCCGAAGGACTGTGGCAGACATCCGTGGGACTATTTACAAACTGTTTGGAGACTCATTATGGGTTGTGAATGCATATAATTCACAGCCATTGAAATAAAATCAAAGGTTTTAGGGAACTTATTGTCTCAGGAAGCCTTGATCAGGACTAAAAGGAGGATTAAGGGTGACATGATAGCAGTCTTCGATATTTGAGGGGCTGCCACAGAGAAGAGGAGGGGGTCAACTTATTCTCCAAAGCCCCTGAAGGCAGGACGAGAATCAATGGATGGAAACTAACCAAGGAGAGAAGCAACCTGGAATTAAGGAGGCATTTCCTAACAGTGAGGATAGTCAAGCAGTAGAACAATTTGTCTTTAGAAGTTGTGGGTGCTTCATTACTGGAGGTTTTCAAGAAGAGACTGGACAACCATTTGTCTCAAATGCTATAGGGTCTCCTGCTTGAGCAAGGGGTTGGACTAGAAGACCTCCAAGGTCCCTCCCAGCTCTATTCTGAATTGAAAAGTGAAAAGTGTACTGCCAATTCCTCCCTTTTGTGAACAGGAAGCCACCTAACACAGGCAGTTTGAAACATGGCCAATGTCATGCCCATCAGTCTGAATCCGAACAGCTAACAGGGAGTGGGAGTGTGGCTCCGTTGGCTGTGGAGGAAACAGGAAGGGCAAAGTCCAGCTGGGCAGAGCAGGGGAGAGGTAGAACAAGGGGAGAGGGAGTTCAGAGGAAGACCCAGGCCCACCCCCTCTTCATCCTAGGGCACGCAGGGAGGAACAGAGAAGGGAACAACATGGGTTGCATGGCTTACGGGGGAGGAAAGGGCCCTGATTCCCTTCATTAGCCACAGCTGGGAAGAGAGTTTAAAAGAGATACATGCTGAGAGCGGCAGCTGCTGGGAACAAACGTGAGTTTATCTTGTGTTGACTTTGGTTATCTGCGTTCTTGGCGTCTTCCCAACCGGGTTGAATTACTGCCGTTCCTTCACGTCTGGAATTCCTTCTCCTGCCCTGCCGGACTAATTACCTCATTTTGCCTTGATTGGACTTATAGTTACAGTTTTTGTTGACCATGTTTTGGACTTGATTCACTGCATCCAAAGGCTGTTCCCGGGAGAGTTTTTCTCCAGCCCAGAAGGTAACCAGGACACCGGGGGCAAAGGTAGATCTAATAAAGGGACTCCTACTGGTTATCTGACTGTGTTGCCTTTGTGCCACACCCCTTTGGGTCATCACAGCCAAAGACCAGAACTTAAGTTACACACGCTTTATGTAGAAATGAACTGTTTTCGGAGAGAGAGAGAGAGAGAAAGAAAAAGAAAATTAGATAAGCATATGGCTTTATTATCCTTTTGATTCCTCCAGCTTTAAAATGCTACTGTCCTTCTATACTGTCTGTACACAACCTCCCCAGTTCCTTTGTCTTTTAGTTCAGCACGTGTAGGATTGTTGTCATTGTGCGACTCGGTGGTGGCCGTGGCGGAAGGGAAGGGGGGTTGGGTAGTGGGAACAGTCCTGCCTCTTGGCTACCACTATGAGGCCTGCCACAGGGCCACCTCTCCCCCCCCCCCAAGAGCGCGGTGTGCCCCCCCCGCTCCCCCCCCCCCCCCATTCTCCCTCTCAAAAGTGGACCCTCGAAACGTCGTGGGTGGCAAACAGCCTCTTGCAATTCATGCACAGGACGGAGGGAGATTTGGGTTGGTCAGCCAAACAAGCGCGACACACCAGATGCCGGCACGGGAGCTGGTAGACGGCCTCGGTCTTGAAGTAGGGAGAAAAGGCGCGGGAACAGGAAGAGCATCCCTGGGGGCCAGAGTTCCCGTCGTGCTCTGAGGGAAAAGAAAAGAACATGTGTTGACCCAGGGCCTGACACAAAAAGAACCAAGTCACAAAAATAGAATAAATTCCCTTTAATGCCTCCAACTTGGCCCCCAATGTCCAATTATCCTCGGCTGGAGATCAAACTCTTAAAGAAAACAGTCTACAGAGAGAGTAAATGCCGTCCGAACCTAAAGTAAAGTTAATTAGAAATATAAAAAAAAAACCAACACAAACCACACTGAAGGAATTAACACGGCAGGCCAGGATGATAAATTGCAGACTTCCACCAGATAACGCAGCAACCACAGTTGGGAGGAAGCCATAACCCAGATAAGCCTCGACCAAGATAATGCACACTTTGCTTCCAGCAACTTTGCCATGCGCAGTTTGTCCTTATAAACAGTCCTCACAGCTGCAGCCCGTGAAGGGGATCAGGGCCCTTTCCTCCCCTGTAGACCATGCCACTCACGTTTCTCCCTGATCCGCTCCTCCTTGCGTGCCCTAGGATGAAGAGGGGATGGGCCTGGGTCTTCCTCTGAATGCCCAGCTGGCCTGCGCCCTTCCCCAGTTTCCTCCACAACCACCGGAGCCCCACTCCCATTCCCTGTCATCTGTTCCACCTCTCCCTCGGAATCAGATTCCAACAGAGGCGTGACAGAACGACATGCAAAAAGTGAAAAGGGGGACTGTGGAGGCACGACCACAATTGACGCGAGGGTCGTCTTTTGGGTGTGGGGGTGTGGGCTGGAGTGGAGACAGCTATGCTCAACTAGGCAATAGGTCAATGTGTCTAATCAGATCCCTGTTTATTTTATTTGTATTGCCCCAGGGGTGGGATTCTTCCAGTTCGGACGAACCAGATGTTAAAGATACAGCTGGTTCTATTTCAACTGACCGGCTGGCCCCGCCCACCTCGCCCCTCCCCCTCCCAGCAGTCTCCACATAGCCCATTTTCCATGCAGGTAAGTGCAAGGTTCGTGCAGAGGTTCTGGGAGGGGGGGGAAAAAGGCCTGTTTCCGGCTTCTTGTGGACCTCCAGAGCCCGGGGGGGGAGGCTGTTTTCACCCTCACAGATGTCCTGGGGGAGGCCACTGGACCCTTTCATGCCTAAGGCAGGACTAGAACTCACAGTGTTCTGGTTGACTGGCCCAAAGGCACCCCCCCTGGCTTTGATGCCTAAAGTGGGACTAGAACTCACAATCTCCTTTTATAGGCCATTTTCAAGTTTTCGTATTTTATTTGGACACTATCCCGAGTCTCTCTTTGTGAGAGACAGAGGGGCGGTCTCCAAATGTGATAAAATACATAAATAAAAATTCAACCAAGTATAGAGAAGCTAGCTATTCCGTTAGCCCTTTCTTTCTCGTGGGCGAGAGACTCAAATTCCCAAGGAGTCCGACAGGCAGCAAATCGGTCCCCGCAAAGAAGGGCAAAGAGGATGAGTTGGCCAACTTTTTCCTGGCTTTACCGTAAGCCCCGCCAGCCCCACAGACATCGCTGGAGCTGCTGCTGCCGCTGCTGCTGCTGTGCCCGTGTTGCCCGCCTTTAGCCAAACTCGCGGTGAACGGCATCGTGCTAAGTGCGGAGTTCAAGGCGCTGTCCAAACTTTCGGACAGCCTCTGTTCATGCGTCACCGCTTCTGTGAAGAGAGGGAAAAAAGATCTAGAGAGAGGCATCATGGAAGAGTCGAAGAGAGCATCCTCCCTGGCGAATCAAGCTACAGATATGTGTTTATTTGTCTATCCAATATAGAGAGAGATGCCTAGTGGCACACAACAATCAGGTGGGAAATAGCAAATAAAACAAAATGGACTCTGGGCCAATCACCAGGAGACGGTGAGTTCTAGTCCCACCTTAGGCACAAAAGTCAGCTGGGTGACTTTGGGCCAATCACCAAGAGATGGTGAGTTCTAGTCCCGCCTTAGACATGAAAGTCAGCTGGGTGACTTGGGGCCAATCACCAGGAGATGTTGAGTTCTAGTCCCGCCTTAGACATGAAAGTCAGCTGGGTCACCAGGAGACAGTGAGTTCTAGTCCCACCCTAGGCATGAAAGCCAGCTGGGTGACTTTGGGCCAATCACCAGGTGACAGCGAGTTCTAGTCCTGCCTTAGGCATGAAAACCGGCTGGGTGACTTTGGGCCAATCACCAGGAGACAGTGAGTTCTAGTCCCGCCTTAGTCATGAAAGCTGGCTGGGTGACTTTGGGCCAATCACCAGGAGACGGTGAGTTCTAGTCCCACCTTAG